GTTCCTTTATAGAACAACTTGCATAATAAGCTTGTTTAATTTCAGATGCCTTTTCCAACTTATCATTGGTGCTTATATTATCCATAGAAACATCCCATTGTACGGAGAGATTGGAGTTGTGTAGCTCCCAATTTGTTTTCCTAGGATTACGATAGGTTTCCTTGATTATATCATTTGCTTTATATTCAAATAGAATTTGTCTATGATCAGATAATGAAATTTCATCTGATACATGCCAGTTTATTACCCGATCTGAAAGAGCAGAGCTACATAACGTTAAATCCAAAACTTCCTCTCTTATTGCATTAGTAAATGTTGGAGAATTACCCCTATTACATATATCGATATTCTATAAAGAATTCACATCCGATGATAAAGGCCTTATTTTGGCCTTTGCAGCATGAAACGAAGGCTGCAATTTCTGGATGAGGTACGTCATCAACGTCACCAGGAAGGAAAATACGCCGGTGCAACACAAAACGTTGTTTTCCCCCGCGTAGTTGGCACCTCTATAGTAACTGCAACAATGTCTCTGTTGATGAATCCTGTAATTGGTGTCATTTTTATATTATTAGCAGCTCTTGGTAATAGTTGTGTATCGTCATAAATTAGCTTACACGATTGTGAAGGCATTCCAAAAATCCTGCTTTTGTGTGTCCATGGCTCCTGGAGGCAAGCAACATCCAGTTTGCTTTGAACAAATGTTTTGCTGAATATAGCTGAAGATCCCTTTGCGTGGTGAAGGTTTTCTTGTATGCGTTTTATGCTGTGTTTCGTCATCAGTTCAATTAGTGTTTCCTTTTGCTAGGCATTTTCTGCTCAATTTACATGGTATTGTGATTACCCGTCAGTTTGTATTGTTTTGTGTGGACTTGTATCGCTCGATATTTTTGTCCAGTATTTTCCGATGCATTTTGTGTACTTTGGGGAGCTGATCTTTTTCCATTTCCTTCGCTTGTTTCTGCAGTGGACTTATCTCAGTGACAGCAATCATCTTTATTGCATTGATCAGTATTGTCATCACCATTATCCACAATTTCAGAGTCCTCGTGGATCTCAGGAATTTACGACTGTTCTTTATCTCCCTCGATTATTCCATCACTATTTCGGATTTCTTCATCTTCCGCCTTTGTTGGAATTTTTGTCCTTATAAAAGCACTACCAAACTTGTAGTCCACAGTAAAATTGCATTCTTCTAGGGCTTTCATGGATACAGCATCAACAGTGAATACGAGGTCAGTGTGATGCTGTTTGACGATATACCTTTTGAGGATTCGACAGGCATCAACCATTAACCCCTCATTCTGGCTTTCCACCAAAGCAAGTATATCTTCAGTGCTATCCTCTGCACTTCGCGGGAAAAAGCCCAATAAAATTTCAGGTCGAGATATGTCTTTCTCGTCGACTGCAACGAGACAGGTATTTTCTCATGGTCTGATACTGGGAACTTCAGCCTTTAACCAGTCAGCCGTTTCATGGTTCTTGCAGATGAGAATCATATACCCCGGCCTGAACAAACAGTTCCCAAATTGTGGCTTAACTTTTTCTTTTCTTTGCTGAGCCACAATTTTCAATAACCCTGGTTGCCAAACAGTTTTGCCTGAGTGTACCGCATTAGGCATAAATACGTTAGGCATACGGACGTTAGGCATACGGACGTTAGGCATACGGACGATAGGCATACGGACGATAGGCATAATGGACGTTAGGCATAAAATACCTTGCTGCTGTGCAACTCCAGAAGCCTGTTTCAAGCATGGAAAACAATTTAAGCATTGTTTTCCATGCTCGAAACAGGTTTAGGCTAAAAAATGATACAAGTTAAACAAACATAGTTTATTTAATAAGCACAGTTTGGAATCCATTATTCCCTGAACGTCAGGGCCTTCATGACGTCAGGGGGTGACGATAATAGAATAAGGTACTGCCGAAGGCATTATTTACGCTATTTGCTCTAAAAGATATTAACTTTGAGATTTGGGCGTAATTGCTTTTGTAAACAAACACGTCCATCGCCGATTTCTCTTACATTGAAACGCAATATCGCGAACAAACCATACCAATTGATAGAGGAATCATTTATCTACCCGTGTGTGCTGTTATTTTTTAGATTGGGCTTTAATTTGCGAGAAATCGGCGATTGTCATGTTTGTTTACAAAAGCAATTACGCCCTAATCTCAAAGTTCTCCGGATATGTGTACCGTATGCGTGTTAAGTTTGCACCATTCAGTAATGTCAAAATTAAAAAACAAACTCATAAATTTCGTTTTCGAGTTTTTTTATTTATTCAAAGGGGGGATGTTTCTCAGAGTCTTAAAGTATGTTAATCATTGATCGCGTTTCCACTTGCTGCAAGTACGGCCTCTACACGCTTCCGGAATGCACGGCAGGTTCTAATAATGTAGTCTGGATCCATTGTCTGAGGCTTGCTGTACTCGGGTGGCGTTAAGAACAGGCCTTGGCCTTCATGACACGCCATATTGAGTAATCCAGCAGATTAAGATCGGGGCTGGATAGCGGCCACATATCCTTCACCCAGAACGGAAGATTTTTCCTGCAACCACTTCTGAGCGCGGTTCGAGGTGTGGCACGGAGCTTCATCTTGTTGAAATACAACATTTGGCTTCGGACCGTACTGTTCTTTGATCCACGGAAGAACATACTTACTTAAAATCCCGATGTAGACCTCCGTGTTGACCTTGTCGCCTTCTGGAATGAACACCGGGTCAATTTTTTTGCCATCGGAAGCCACCAATCCAAACACCATAACGCTAGCAGGATGCTTGGTCAGATAAACGTTCTTGTGCTCGTTGGCCACGTCTTTTACCGGAAGAAAACTAATATACCGGTCGGTGCTGGAATTTGATACGGGATCGACGGTAAACATGCCCTCGTCGGTGAACAGGATTACCGGATAAAAATCGCTTAAGGAAGTTCAAGATTTTCTAGCATCGTTCGACTCGTAGCTCCCGGATGCGGTTCGTAATCAAGTGAGTTTTTTTTTCCGTGCCCTCGACTTCGCCCCACAATCTTCCTTTACGATCTTCCGTGCTGTAAAGTCACTGATCCCGTGTTCCTTTGCCATTTTCCTTATTGAACGCACTGGATTCACCCGAATCATCCTTTTGATAGCAGCGATAACCCTCGGAACCCGAGCTGACCTCGGACGACCTGTGGCCACGCGGAGAGTTTTCCTTTTTTTCACGGTCTATGCCCTTTTGAGGGTCCACCGGGACACTCCCACGGCGATTGGAATGTATTTTTGCGACATTTGCGCTTGGAATAAATCACGAATACGCTGCCACTTCGTCATGGTGCAACTGTCAAACTAAGTAAATCATTTTCTTTTATACACAGCCTACTACGGCATGAGCTATAGAGCTTTTTGATGTTTAATCGGTGCACACTACTGCACCATTTAAATCGAACGAGTGCTAGCAAGAGGGAAACAGATTAGTGGGAAAACAAACCGTCCATTCATTCATGTGTGCTAGATAAAGAAAGATGATTAAACGTCAAAAAGATCTATAGGTTACGTGCATGCAAAGAAAACCAAGGCATTTTATGCACAAGTGAAACGGGAACCTTATTTGTACGATGGTGCAAACATTATCACGCATACGGTAGTTCAGATTGAAGTCTTACTTCCATTGATATGAGTAAGGGGGGAGGGGATGTAGTAAGCTCTCCCCCTCTCTTACTATGTTTATGAGATAAAACAATGGTTTTTAAATATTTCATATGAACATACGAAATTTATAAGATAAGAAAATCTGAAACTATTTCGGTTTAGACTTCCATTGACACCGGCAGTGTTGGCAGAAAAAGTGATTTTTGGCATTTAACTCAAACCATAAATATTTGAACTGTTATATATATATATTTTTTTTTAGACCTCCTAGCACCGTACTTCCTTGGGCAAAAGTTCTTAGGCACTTCCTATACTATATGTGTACATGGTTAGTTAGTTGCATGGTTAAAGCAAAATTGTGGTCTCCAGGAATGAAAATGCCAAACGTAGGTTTTCCCATACAAAATTCAAATGCAATGCGGAAAGCCGAGTTAAAACCAATCGTTCCCAAATTTTCCACAACTGGAATCTATCGAACCCATCACCACATGGGTCGGGACCAACGGTTTTACTGCCCTGCTCAAAGAAAGACGTTCCGGAGTTTGTTTTTCACCTCAGAAGAATCCCAACAACCTCAGCTGGGATTGAACCCAGACACACTGGGGTGAGAAAGACTCCATCCTGTGATGATAATGATGATCGTATGAATGAACCTACCAAAATCCAATAAAGGGCATTGTGTTCTTTCAACCTTTTATCCCTTGATCTTCTTCTATTTGACGTTTTCTTCTCCAACCTTTTATTAGTATGACAGGTCCTGTCAAACTGTTTTTAACAACTGCTTCGTACATCTTCTTCTGCTCCTTATTCAGTAATGCACATAAATATACTAAGCCGTTTAGAAGCCGACTGTCAATCGATTCACTTTTTTCGCGAATGACCCAAATTCAGAACCATCGCATCAATTTGCAACTCCGCCGAATCGCTCAATTTTCGTTGCCAAGCTTGATTCGTTCACCATAATAATATAAGCTTATATCTACCAATGAAGCAACTACGAAATGGCATATCACTTATATTGTTTTTAAAATAATCTACATACATTTTTACTAATCCAAATCGCGAAAGAACTGTAAAATATATTACGTGAATTCTATCTCCATTTTTAAGCTACATTAAACATTATAATCCGAAGACCCTAGAAATCATCATTCAGCTAAAGTTCCGCTGCAACAGAAAGTATTCAACATACCAAAAACTCAAATGTGATGATCCTTTCTAGGGCCAACGATTTAGAAAAAAAAACTTTATTCCTTTTTCCGAATTTTTGGCTAACGACAATTCTCAACTTCACTTTTCCTCATCTCAATTTCGATCTCGGAAGTGCAACGCATCTAACACGATGATAACACCGTTTTCCAATTGCAGTGAACGCCAAACCGCTTACCTTCGACGAGGTTTACAACCAAAGCAGTCCAACCAACTGTACCGTTTACTGCGGCGGCGTCGGTGGCACTCTGGCCGGCGGACTCAGCGAAGAGATCCTGCAGAAGACGTTCTCTCCGTTCGGTACCATCCAGGAAATCCGCGTCTTCAAGGACAAAGGATATGCATTTGTGAGGTAGGTTTAGACGCAGGTTTGAATAAGGGTTTGTTGTAGATGTCTAACCGGCTTGCCTATTACCATAGATTCTCCACCAAGGAAGCCGCCACTCACGCCATCGTTGCTGTACACAACTCGGAAATCAACGCTCAAACGGTCAAATGCTCCTGGGGTAAGGAAAGTGGTGACCCGAACAATGCTCCCTCACTGGCGAGTCAAGCATTGAGCCAGGCCGGATTCCCCTTCAATACGGCTTATGGTCAACAGGTTGCCGGCTACTGGTATCCACCCGCTCCGACCTACCCAACCACGCCGGCACCTGCTGCAGCCCCCCTACAAGGTCAGTTCCTCCAGGGAATGCAAGGCTACACGTATGGACAGTTTGCCGGCTACCAGCAAGGATACATGGGGTAGGTGTTTTGGGAAACGGAAATTGTCAACTGAAATCAACTTTAACTTGACCATTGATTGATCTTTACAGAATGGGAATGCAGCTGCCAGGTGCCTGGCCCGGTGTCCCAACTCAGGCGCAAATCCCTGCCACTGCTCAACAGCTAGCTCAGGCCGGCGTCGGTGGTGCCCTCCCACAAGCAACAGGTGTCGTCGCCTATCCAATGCAGCAGTTTCAGGTGAGCCCACAGATACACCCGGCACTCGTCAGTTACTAGCACCAGTACGTCTAGTCTCTACTTGCTTTCTTTTAATGGGACAGCATATCATATCAACGTTTAGAAAATTTACACCATTGGTTTACATTACACGCACAGCCGCACAAACATGAATGGCACGTTTTTAGTTGTTTTATGTTCGTTTTGATGTGAACACACAGTTAAGGTCCTTCGTGTCGGGATTGGGATTCAACGTTCAATCTGGTTTAAATTGGAAAAAAAATAGTCGCACTCAGGCTTTTATAAAGCTTTGTATCCCGTATGAACAAATTATATTGTTTACAAAAACACAGCAAGCGCCTATTCGCACGATAACAAATACCAGACAGTCCAATCTACACTGCAAGAAAACAGAATCCGAATATCATAGAATTTACTGTTTATACTAATTGACTCGTATTTCTTGTTCTTCTCTTCATTTCCCATTTTCTCTTTTCTCTACGCATTTCCAACGTGGTTCTGCACTTCCAGTTGGCTGACGATGAATGGCTAGCGCCCAGCCTTCTAGTGTAGCTCCCTTGATGGCCCTCGTCACTGTGCGGCTGTGCGGTGCCACAGCACAAGTAGATCTCCTTTTTTCATCCCCAACCAAAATCATCCAAAATAAAAAAAAAAAACACCGTGTTCCTCCATCATCGCAACGCAATTTTGGCGTGCGCCACCAGCGGAGGATCACACCCCCTCCCCCCTCCCAATAAATACCCCCAGTGATTATCGCATTTCCGGTCGAAATCGAACGAAAATGGTAAAAGTAAGCGCGTTTAAACAAGCGAAGAAAAAAAAATGAAGCGGTAAGATGAAAAAGAAGAAAAACTTGAAGTATTACACATACACTGGAAGAAAAAAGATTGGTGTTTGTACCAAGAAAAAAAATAACAAAAAAAAAATTAACACACCCAAGGCATATATAAAATTGACATAATTGGTAAGACACACCCTTAGATAGTAACAATGAAAGCAGCAGCGTTAATGACGTTTGTAAATAATGGATGATAAATATTGGAATTAAATTGAAAACAAGTAAAGGGGAGAAATCTACCAGCAAAACATTTAACACCTAAAAAGAAGGTGAATAGTAGACAAGTAAGTAAGACAGACAAAAAAAACCGATAGCGTCATACTCACACATACACATGCAGCTCTGAATCGTCCAGTGAAATGAAATCAAAACACATTCGTTTGTACATGAGTAACCCGCGATACAATATCAATCGAAGCAGGCATTGAAATCGCGTGAAAGATTTCCAAGTATGTCCCAGTGCATACTGCCGTCAAAACCACGTCACGATCGAAGTATTAGACCGTTGATTTTAAACTAAATTTTCAGGTCTCTCTATTTTCGGAGATTTTTTATAGCATTGTGATCAAACGAGAATAAGCAAAATCAAAACGAACGATAAATGCATTATTTTTCGATATGATTGATTTAAACAGTAAAATTTGTAAAAGGAAAAAAGAACAGTGCAAAACACCGGATTTCAATACAATCATCGTTTTTCTTTTTGGATTCTATTTTTTCTATTTACTTTTTTGCCAATGAAGACAACCAAATTTAGAAACAGATTGCGATATCCTTTCCGCAAGGAAGACAAAAGTTACTTGTGTATCTTTAACCAGAAAACCAAACAAAAACAGCAGCAACACAAAACTACAAGTTTGAACTGAGCAAACCTATCGCTCAGAAAACACCTACACATTAAAAAAAAAGTATATTAATATGACACAATCTTATACATATACAAGAACAAACAACATAGATAGGAATTATTTTTAAAAAGTTCACGTGAAGGAAAAACAACAAAACAAATTTACAGAATTGAAAGGCAAATCAGTTGGGCCCTCTATCTCTAATCGCATAAATACAAACAAGCAAAACAACTTACACATACAACAATAGCTGACTGGAGTTGCAGTAAACACACTAACTAAACCCAGTACTTTATTTTTAAGGAATTGGGTCTCCGAGTGAAATTCCCGCTAATAAAAAAAAAAACACACAATGTTAGTGAGTAGACAAAGTATTAAAACCAAACTTCTTAAACGAACGACAAGCAAGTAAACCTTAACCAACAACAAGCAAACAACATTAAACACACTCATACATACGCCACGAAGCAATTACCTAGAGATGGAATGAGGAAAATATAATTAACTTTACCGAAAGCAAGGAACAACATATGTTTAAAACATACACTAACTTGAAAACTACAATTATTAAGAGGCAAATAAACTGATCCAATGGAAGGAAACACGTTGAAGAGTAGTCAATACTAAACATAATCTTGTAGATCGTAGAAGGCGCACATAATTTTAGTGTAATTCTTTTTTGAAACCCATTTATTAACTGCTTCGCCAAGGTACAGAATGGTGCAATGACTTTAATTTTAGTGACGATGTTAGAGACGACCAATGAACGCGCGACCACACTGTGTTGTTCCTCCATTCCTTAGAGCTCTCTATCAAGCTAAATCTATTTCAACTATCGCCCCCCGCCCTCCTTCCCCCGCCTCCCCGGCATCCCTCGTACAGTAGTGTCTAGTTGTGTTGTTAGTGAGTTTCTGCTTTGTTACCCGATCGAAATAAGAGGACAAAATCAAGATAAAGCGGTTCGAACTAGATGGTAGCAGTGTTACTACATATTAGATGACCCCGAATTTTGAGTTCTGTCTTTTTTGACAGGCGAACCGTTCCTGAGTTGACACAATCGTTTTGTATGTTCGAAATCGCAAAATCAAAGTAGACCGTTGTTTCCCGCTTTTGGCCCCGTCTTATCCTACCCCCTCCGAACAGAGTGGAACCGAACAGTCATGGGTAGCAGAAGGCGGTGGAATTATGACAGATTAGTGCGCGGTTGATATTCGTAGTAGCAGTTGACTTTTTTCGTAGGATTTGTATAGAAAGAAATAAAAAAAAAAAACAACAGCAGCAGCAGCAACAGCAAACCAAAACATCAACAACCAAGAAAGTTTAATCGAAGCAAACTATGCAAACAAGTCTTCTACTAGAGAACAAAATATGATTGCAGAAAAAAAAACAAGCCTCCGGGCTTACTTTAAGAGAAATAATAAGACAGAATATTGAAAATCACTCCCAGATTTTTTGAAAGGAGGCAACCATATCTTTATATATATACATAGTCAAAATGGAGTGGAAGTGAACTAGGAAATACCATGGTGAGGAAGGTGAAATACTATTATTATGATCATTTGAAAACAAAACAAACTGTAATCTACTTGAGGTGGGTGTGACGGACCTGAGAAGGTAAAAGGATCGTGAGCAGTTATTGAACCAAAATGCTTGAGATAATTTGACCCTGTCCTTTTACAGCAGCAGCAGCAACAACAACAACAACAACAACAACAAACCAAAATCAACGCACACATACATACACACACAATTTAATTCTAGAAGGAGCCAGATTGGACAAGAGTGTGGTAACGTAGGTGAACATTTCAAAAGATAGTGTTACCTTAAACAGACGGTTTGCAGCTTCGCATTTAAGTGGTTATCATTTGTTTTCGTTTTGTTTTGAATTTTTACGCAACCCATTCCGGTGTCAGGCAGGCAGCAGATATGCGATTGGTATTTGCTACGAGTAGGAGCTCTCTGGCTTGTATGTTAAACAGTTAACCTCAAAGTTAAGTTATGGGAGTAATGCCTTGTATTCTAGCAGATTTTTCAAACAAGAAAAAAACATTCCATCCGAGATTTTCTACGATAAGAACAGGAAATCCACCGACACTTTTGGAAATAACAGAATCTTCTTAACCCAGATCAGAAATGATTATTCAAAACCAGAAAGTAAAACTGTTTAGTTGGCGAACCCAACACCTGAAGCTTTGGTGTCAGTGTGCATAGAAATCTCAGCAGAAAATTAGTCGCTTTCTTCTAACAAACATCACCGGTTCCATAATGTATAAAGAAAATAATAACTTGGCTCTGTAAAGTTTATTCGATTGAGCCTGTACAAATAAAGTAATTAACAAACAAAATCACCGATTCCGGGGTGGCCACCAGTGTAGGAAAAAAATCATAAAATCAAATCTCACCAATGCCCAAGATCACGCTTGATTTTCGTAGACAAAAATCAACAAGTAAACAACTGCGATTGATTTTGCAAGCTGTGCCATCGCAGCTCGGAATATCAAGCTAACAAAACTCATCACCTGCAAATCTCAACAAACTGTGGTGAGATTGAGTGTCATGATTTTTGCTTAACACCCGAACGCAACCGAAACTTCCATAACGGCTGGCAGCAGTCACTTCGTTTCTGCCATCGGCGAAGAGTAAAAAGAGATAGCAAACTATACTTTCTCTTTCTAAGAAAACGATGTGCAATGGAATCATGTTTGTGTCGAGTCAACTCTCAGCTTGATGTTTGCACCTTGTGAATAGTCGCGCAATATCAAAGGAGCTTGATATTGAGAGCGTAGGAGAGCGGAAAAACATCATTTGATTGATGATTTTGCCAACACTGGTGGCCACTAGATTTAAAAATTTAAATTCCCAGTTTCCCCCGGTTGTCAGACATAGTTTTCCCGGTTTGATTGTAGCAGCTAAATATGATAAAAATATCGCAGTTGTACTACAAGTTTTCTCGATGTTTTACAAGAGCTTGATAAAATCAAAACTGTAACTTGGATTTCGGGTTTTGATTTCTGATATCAAAATACGTTGTTTTCAATGGAATTTATAAGAGATTTTCTATGAAATTCCTACGGAGTATCTCAACGGATTTTTTAGCCTAATCTAATCCAACACCAACACAGCCAGTTCTTGAAAGCATCCTGGAAGATGATCTATTAAAATAAAAATCTATGTGATATATGATTCACATCGAAGATGCGTCCACATACCAAAACGGCGAGGCCTACTGTGCAGCATTTAAGGGGCAAGATGATCCAGAAAACATCGGGCCTGTCTCTAAATCCACGATGCTTCAGAATCCAATAAATGGAAGAAACGCGAACGTCTCGTACCTTACGTTCCGTTTTTGGTAATTATATGATTGGTTGGTCATTGGAAGCATCTAGGCTAGAAAGGTTAAGTGATTTCCTTCTGACGGTTGGGACATAAGCAATAGCTCTTATCCTCAAGGGGTGTTCAACTCTGCACATCCCAAACGTGCCGAAGAGTGGCAATCTTGCTATCAGTCTCGGTAACCCATGAGTTTGGCAACCCTGCTCTTATGACTTTTGAGATTGTGTGTTTACATTTTCAAGTCAAGGACGGAGTGGTGAAACTTTATTCCAATATCACATTCAATGAGCTGGTTGCCGGTCATTCGCTTCAAGAAAATGGCACTCGAAGCTGGCCATCCAGGAGAAGACAGTTCTCTACCGTGCGTCTTCTGGCAGACGTTTGCCGGAATCAAGTACCAAACCGGCAAGTGCAAGATGAATCTTGTCTGCAATATCATCATGCTATTCGGGCAATGCTACAATCTGCAAAATAGAAAGGGCGAAATGCCCACCGGCGGTAGTAGTAGCAGCAATAGACCTGCAGTAGCTTCCCAGTGTCAGCAGCCGTGGTTAGGTACTAAATTCGTCTGACTGCCCCAGAATCTCGATACTGGTTGCAGTCGTTTGATGACTACCTCCTCCTTGGATTTGCCTGTTGTTCCTTCATATTTTTTTATCCTTGGTCATGCCAGAATCGTATATTAATCTCCCTGAAACTGCTGTCGGTTCTGGTTGCGTTCATTAAGACCGCGATTCAGATTGGCTCTGTTACCTCCGGTGTACCAGCATCTTTCTTGATTTGATGTTGCCGTTGGTGATACGAATAGTTGCGATCGAATTCGAGTTCAGTCCATAGAATGAGCTGTACGGCTGACAGATTGGTGAACCATCAATCGTACCACGGTGTTTTGCGGGAGAAACAGCTACGATTGCAGATACATCTGAAGAATGGTGGGATCGCTCGGCACCGGGGTTAATTCTAGTTAGTTCTGGCCCATTCTGTGCGGCGTGGTGACTCTGACTAGTGCGTTTGAACTTCCCTGAAACTATGGACATCTCTCAAAAGCCGTGTGGACTTTCTGTAGAGGTTCATGCCCCAGAAGGCATAACGAAAAAGAGCGTCTCGTCAATTATACAATCTCTTATTAAGATTAGGGATAATTGCGCTGGAAAATGGCACTGGCAAAAAATCCCTTTCTCCTGTAATGTAAATTTTTGTAATGCAAAATGTCAACACAAAACAGTGATGCCATTTTATTTTATATTTTGTGCCATACTTGTCATCGTGTGCCATGACCCGCCGATCAGTGTGCCACGATGTGTTTCGGCACAATGTGCAGAGTTGATTACCCCTTGCTTGTCCTAGCATTTTATGGCTTATGGTTATAGCGCCATTACTCGCTTCCCTTAGCTCAGTCGGTAAAGGCGCAGCTACAAAGCAAGACCATGCTGGAGGTGGCTGGGTTCGATTCCCGGGCCGGTCCAGGAATTTCTCGGTTTGGAAAATTGTTCGACTTCCCTGGGCAATAGAGTTTGATTGTACTTGCCACACAATTATACTAATGCAAACGATGAGACGAATGATGGGACGAACTGAACTGACAATGAAGTAAATGAGAAACTAGAAATCGTACCCTGGGCCTGGTTTTGACCAGATCAGCTACTCGAAGCATCTCCACGCAATTTTTAGCAGAAATCGAAATGAATGCTAAGGAGATTTTTTACATGAATTTTGGTAGGATGTTTTGAGAAGTTGAGCAAAGCTGAATTTCAAGGGAATTTCCATCCATCCAATCCAGATGAGAATTCCATGGTAACTCTGTTCAGACTTCCACAATGAACTTCAAGGGAATTCTTAGCAATATCAGGGCTGATAGTGAAACGAACCATTTACTAAGCCTTTACTGTGTCTCAATTGCCAAGATAAATTTAACTCGTAGTTAAAAGTAACATTTCGAAAGTTTATTTCAATGTTCGAAAATCCCTGTGTTGACGATCTACCGGTTTTAGAACAGACCTGTTGTAAAAATCTAACTAATAACGCTCGGATAGCAGGTTTATATTCGATAACTTTCTATCTGTCACTTTCATCTACGACTTAAATTCAACCCGGCAAATGGGACACACATTAATTTCGGGATGTGAAGGATTGATCATAGAAATTTATTAGAAAATCTTGGACTAGAGAAAAATTTAGGCGCAGAGAAAATTGAACGACTTGGACTTGGACAAATTTGGACAATTTTAAAGATCTCATGTATAGAAACTTCTGTAGCACCTCAAACATGGACAAATTTTCATTACTCTGGAACCTAGATCGTGGTATAAGAAAAGTTCTCATTATTCAGGAACGAGGAAAAAATTTCGCAAAAATTCTCCTTCAATACAAGACATCTCTAAGACTATAACTTATTTAAACAAAAAAAAAATCAGTACCGCTGAATCACCTACCAAATGAAAGCTTAGGCTCACCCCTTCCATATGACACTAGAATGGAAATCTTTTTACCAGCGACTTGGTTGCGGAAGGCATGTAGCACTAGAGGTTTTCTAACAAGTGGTAATAGCCTCTACACGTCGTCCCTGTTCTGAACATAACCATATTCAAGGTTATTCGAAATTTCATCATAAACCGGAAGTTGCAAAATGGCGTCAACCATAGATTTCCGGCTTCTTCACGTCGTTCCCGTTTCGAAAATATTGGCCTTTCTCCAGAAAAAAAAAATTGGAATTTTTCGGCTCTTTAACCGCCTTATTTAAAAAAAACCGTGTTGTTAAAAGAAATCGTTTTTAAAAAACTGTTTTTCTCCGAGTTTTCGAAGTTTAAATAAACCCCCATTATTCTCAATGGAATGAAAAGAGAAATGGACGGAAATTCCAATGAGGATCGTTGACAATTTGAAGAATCTTTTTGGAATTTAAAAGGGAATTCCAGGAGGATGATTTGAGAAAGCTTAGAAAAATTTCAAGGGAAATTCTTTAAAAAATACATGAGAATTCCCAGATATTTCTGTATAGATTTCCAGGACAATTCTCGAAAAATATGTAAAAAAGGGCCTATGTACCAAATGTAAACAATGACTTTAAAATGACAACACTCCCACGCAAACTAACTAATCCATGTGATGGAGCGAATTTCTTCTACCAGATGCTACCTGTTGATTTACCGGAGTGAATTATAATCCACGAAGAATCATCGTTCAAAGCCATTTTTACATTTGGCACATGAGCCCTTTTCACAATTCTGAGATGAACTCTAAGAAAATTGTTGGCGATATTGGAAGGATAAATTTTCAAACACGGTAACTTTTAAATAGAATTATTTAGATAAATTTATTGAATGGGAAACCTCGAGAGAATTATTTAGAATACTAATATTCAATTCTGAAGGCTCTTAGGTACAAAAGGGTCAAAGGAATGCCAGAGAGAATACAACATTATTCAAGGGGAAAGCCAATCTGAAGACATCTTGGGATGATTCTAAGGAAATCCTCTGAAGAGCATTCTTCTAGAAATGAAAACTTGGCCTAGAAATTCAAGCATCTTGATTGGGTAAATAGCTTTTAAAATTCTGAGACTGAACATTTCCATCTATTCCAGCGTCTTGCCTGTTACCGTAAGACGACGTCGTGCGCAAAGCCAACAATCTCAACTCGTTTGGGTAGCTTCAGCCGTTTTAAATCACGTTCCAGAGCGTTGGACCAAGGATGGAGCCTTGTGAAATTCCCACCGTGATCCTAATCGATCTCTGTCCCATATTTGGCTCGTAGATCAGAACCCGGTTCTGGAAGTAGCGTCGGCCTCCCAGCTAGAGCTGTTGAACGCATTCTTGACGTCGATCGTTATCACAGCGTAATATCGATCTCCTCTTCACTTCTGTTTCGCCTTCGCCTTCTCGGCTCTCTCGACAACACTGTCCGAATTGCATCCACTTTTGCTCTTCCTTTTCGAAATTCGAACTGCTTCTCCGACAATCCTTGCACACTCTCCGTGCATTTTGTCGAGTTTTCCGAGTGTATCCAGCAGGCACTGCTACGAGTTGCTCGTTGGTGATTTCGTCGTTATCTCCTCGTTGCAGTAGTAAGCTGGAGGCCGTCTGTTATTTAGCTCCAGTTTCCTCGGCATGTTATATTAAAATTTATGTTTTGCTGTGTCACATGCTCTCCCTAACGATTCTGTCAACTCGACAGTGAGCATGCATAAGGGCGTATACGTGATGATCGATTCTCTTCATCGATTTTCAAAATTTTGAGGTTAGGCCAGTTTTTCACATTCTTGAATTTCACGAGATTTTGATTTTAGACTGCGTATTTTAAAGATCTCAGATTTAAAAAAATCATGGCTCTTGGACTTCTGCGCATTGACTAGCGAATTATTATGAGAACTTCAAATGAGTTTTGAGAAGAATTGTAGAGGAGTTCTAGGGAAATTTTTAAAGGAACGATGGGGAGAATCCAAATGGAATTCGACTGGAAATTTTAGGTAATTTTGAGAATATAAAATAGCTCATGAACATTGTAAGGAGAGGCGTTATGAGAATTATGTGGAATGTCATGGAGCATTCTAAGGGGATTTGGATGAATTCCTTCAAAGTAAATTAACCCTACGGCACACTTGACTACATGACTTTAGTCCAACGGCTGAAAATCTCATAAATGTTGATCAGTCCATCCATCAAAAAGATATTCTGAG